AAAGAAATTGAGTGATGTACTCGTACATTGTCAGCGTTCAAATCACAATGCATATGCAGCACTAATGAAAATACAAATAAATTATATATATATATATAAAAACATGTGGTTCGTTGTCCCTAAGAAAATTTCCTTCAAAGGGCTTCTTGCTGTAACTAACTTCATGGAGCGGAGTCCTTCTTGAGAAGCCAACAATAGTGCGGCATCTCAAGAACTGCACAGCAATTCATGGAACCTTAAATTTTATTACCATGTTCAGTCTACCCTTCAATGAGGGTAGACTGACCACGGTAATAATCAATCCAGTCCAAACAACGCAAAACATTCTTTCTAATATCCATTTTAATATTATCCACCCACCTACATCCCGGTGTTCCTAGTGGTTTCTTTTTATCTGGCTTTCCCACCAATATTCTATATACATTCCTCCTCTCCCCCACTCGTGCTACGAGTCCTCCTCATATCATCCTCCTTGACATCATTCAAATTACATTTGATGAAAACTACAAATTATGAAGCTCTTGATTATATACTTTTCTCCAACCTCCTGTTGCTTCAACTCTCATAGGTCCAAAGATTCTCCTCAAAACCCTGTTCTCAAACACCTCCAACCTATGTTCCTCCCTTAACAGCAGATACCAACTTCACACCCATACAGAATGACAGGCAAAATTATACTGCTGTATATTCTAATTCTTATGTTTTCAGGCAACAGACGAAACAGACAGATATTTCTGGACTAAATGGTAGCAAGCATTGCCCACTTCAATCTCCTCTTGAATTCTTTCTAAATCAAATTGTCATTTGTTACAGTAATTTCCAAATATCTTAATGTACCACACTTTCAAATGATCTATCTATCTATACATATCATGATTTTTCCCTTCATTCTGGTGACGAGACAGCAATATACACTTAGTTTCCTCTGTGTTTATATCTAAGCCATATTCCTTATTAATTTCAATTAAAGTTTCGTTGATATTCTGGTACATATGTTATCACCAAATAGATTTATATCATAAGCACACACCAGCAGTTGATATGTCCCATTTAAATTCAGCCTTCCACCCGTATGGGAGCTGCGGGCGGCAACCTTTAAAATCCTCATGACTCGTGGGACCAAAATGAAAGAACCAGATTAAAAACCGTTCGCAAGGACCTTAAACTGAAGAGGGAATTCCCTCCAAGTGGATCCCTACGAGAAATGCTTCAGCAGGGGGATGGAAGCTCTAGTGAACCACTAAGGTGCCCAGGAGCAGCCAGCGAACCTGCTGTTGAACTTTCAGCCAAAGGCAGGGAAGAACCACTGTTTCGAAACCTACCTGACCTAAAACCAAAAACTCCACTCTTTGGAGTCAGTAATACTGACATACCACTACAAGGGGCTAGTACCTCTTGCACACCTGCAGCAGGAGAAGTATTGGAACACCTAGTCTCTGTAGTATGTGGACACCGTCTAGCGAAAGAGCCTTCTCCGGATGATGCAGACGGAAGTTAAAAAAGGCAAGAGTTGGGGCAAGCAAACCATGAACTGGAGGCAGACAGCAACCAGGAAATGCATACTCGTCCAAACAGGGGGAAACCTCCACCGTTACCTTTAAGAGGCTAAGATCGGAGGGCAGTACCCACAAGGGCTGTGGAAGAAGGTATGGAGGAGGACACCTTTCCCAGAATTACAGAATGAATACATAACACACAACATACGATTCATTCAGATTAACCTACAAGACAGCAAGTCTGCTACGGCAATTTATGTCGAGAACTTGCTGAAGGAAAAGTAGACGTAGCACTTATTCGGGAACCTTATTTATATATATAGGGGCCAAATAAGAGGCTTAACGAATTCAGGGGGAACAGTTTATTCTGCCATACCTGGAGAAAATTTGAGATTATGCATATATGTTAATAAACATATTAATGTTTTACCCTTGCTGGAGTTTTATTCCAGAGACACAACAACAGTGAGGATGACGTACACATCGGGCCGGAGACTGTGAGGAGCTCATCGTCACTTCAGCTTACTTTCCATATGGCTCAGATGAACCACAACTTTCCAAAGACGTGAAGGACATCGTTGAATATTGTCATCTTAGGGAAAAGCAGCTCATCATTTGGTGTAACGCAAACGCGCATCACAATTTATGAGGGAGCACTGACATGAACCCAAGAGGAGGATGCCTCATGGAATATTTGGTGAGTTCAAACCTTAATATTCTAAACGAAGATAACGAGCATACCTTTGTGGTTTGCAATATGTCGGACGTTTTCGACTTGACACTAGGGACCAATAAAATAGGAAACCTGATAAGTAATTGGCATGTATGTGATGAGGCGTCCTTACCGGATCACAGATATTTATCCGTTCAAATAAACAACATTACAGTAGATCAAGCTACTTATAGGAATCCTAACAGAACCAATTGGGAGTCTTACAAAGACGACCTAAAGGTAAATCTGGAGACCGTCTCGCGAAATATACGCACAATAAAGGATGCTGATCGATCCGTTGACCAGTTATAAGGGCTATTATCTCGTCCTTTAATAGGAATTATCCGGCAAGGACTACTCGCAGTCCAAGGAGAGCGCCTTGATGGAATAAACAGTTGAGTGAATTTAGAACTAAGACGAGAAAGCTGTTTAATACAGCTAAAAGAACAGGGCAGTGCGATACCTACAAAGAAGCCCTTACCTGTTACACAAAGAAATAAGGAAAGCCAAGCAATCCTCATGGTAAAGGCACTGCCAGGAGATCAATGATATGCAAGGTAGTGTCAGACTCATAAGAATCATGGCAAAGCAGGCGACCGATAAGGTCAGCACGATTAAGCTGCCCAACGGAGAAGTATGCTCAAACAGGAACACTGAACGAATTATTCAGGGTTCGCTTTCCTGATTCAAAATTGATTGATAATTTGGATGGTGGGCCGACTCAGCAGAACCTGGGCACTTGCCAAAGCAGGACAAACAGGGCAGACTGGAACCTGGCCAAAGGCATAATTAACCAATCAAAAACAGATGGGTACT